TTGTTCCCTGGTAAGTCTAGGTACGCATGACTGTGTAATGTGTGATTTACATGTATCTCTACTCAGGCTGAGATAGACCTATTGGACTAGTGAGCGTCCTATAGTGTGTAATATATACATATATAGACTACTCTAGATATTGTTGAGTCTATCTAGGATGTATCTGCGTATCGGTTTCCTATTTGGATCGTAATAGATCAGGACTTGTATGTGGACCTGACCTACTCTTTTATTTTTCAGGTGCTCGTCAATTCCAGGGTTAAAGCTTGGTCATGCAGAGCAGATACAGACTTCTATTCCACCGATTACGTAGGACTGCTTACTTATTAGTTTTGGATCTTATTTCAGTTATTTTATTTACAGTTGGGATCTTATTAGGGGTCCACTAGATGGATTCCCGAGTTGTTAATTAATTGGAGGTTTTGGAGTTTGGATTTTTATAACATTATTTTAAGGATTTTTAATTAGAATTCTTTTAAGCCATTTTTATTTACTTCTTATTATTTCATCTTGTATTCTGTGTTCATTAAAGTAATAATTGTTTGGCATTTCCCTCGGGTTTGGGCCTGGGCCTGATCAACCCGTATATCGGATCCGAGGGGTATCACACTAACCAAACATTAAAAGCCCCAAAGTATAAGGCACACCATATAGGTAACCTATACAAGAGCAACAGAAGACAGAGGATGTCCAAAACTGGACACAACACAATGTTGTGAGCATGGGGACAATTCTCGCCCTTCAAGATTTAATTGTTGTTATCTAGAGGCTTCGCCGGGGGCTGTATAACAGAGGCTGGAAGTTCCCACTCTTCAATGAAACGTTTGGTACTTGGGGAATCTGAGACTGTAGATGACAAGAGTTTCTGTCTAATTGTGTCTAAGACTTGCTGTAGCAGTGCATTTTGGGATGTGAACTTCTTCTTGAAAATTCTCCTATTATGCTCCATCCATATGCAGTAAACAAGTGAACTTAGGGCAAGCTTTGTAATACTCCTAATCTTCAAAAGGATAGTTTCGGCATTTTAATTTTTCTTTTATTGGATTTTTATTTGTTTATTTGTTAAATTGATTTAATTTAATTGATTATTTGTTTTATTTTTATTTTATATCTGAATTAAAATTGATTTAAGTGTTTTATGTGCATTATTTGAATTATTTAAATTGTTTAATTATGGTGTGCTATTTAAATTGTTGATTGTATTATTCTATTTAAACTTCACTGTGGTAGATTAGGGTATTAAATTAGGTTAGGGTTTTAGTTTTATATTAACATTCACTTATGTAGCCGACGTTCATATAACATGGGTTGGTCTATGGGCCGAGTAGATCAGGTTAGGGTTTAATTGAACCTAGGATTATTTGGCCTATAAATATATGAGTAATGTTCTGCGTAGGGTTTTAGAACCATGTTCACGATTGTGGAGGCAGAGAGAACCAGAGGAGGCAAATAGAGAGCTCGCCGGGGGAATTTAGGAAGACGTCGGGTATAAGGTAATGTGATGTTTCCAATATTCAGCATTTTTCATTTTTCAGGAATTTTGTCGCCGCAAGGGCATTTTCGTCTTTTCACGTTTAGTGTACGGGATTTTAGTTGGGTGCATTTGCATCATGTTCATTTAATTAATGTATTTTATGTGAGTGCAAATTGATAAGTGTATATGTATATCTATGTTGTGGGTGGTGTAAATTAAAGGCAAAAAGAAAAAGGAATAATAAAAGGAAAAGGTGGGACCCACCATTGGCATACAAAAAGGCTAGGAGACCACATTTTGGTCTCCATTTCTTCCCCTCTCCCACTAGTTCTCTCTTTCTCCCTTTATCTTGCTTTTTCTTTTTCTTTTTCAATTACAACTTCAATCCTAGATCTCTCTCTCTATATTTAGTATTTTTAAGTGCCGTTTGCGGCAAATTGAAGAGCGCCTCGAGGGCTTCGAATTGATCAAAGCCAATATCTTTTTGGCCATCATTTGGAGAATATCTAATTCTAGGGTTTGGGAAGAAATTGGGGCTTTTCATTGCTTTTGAGGTAGGGGTCTCTAATTCACACTTTTCCTTGCACTTTAGTGAGTTATTCTCCTGTATTTATGGCTAAGCATGCTTAATTTAAGTTGATTGCTTGCTTAAATGATTTAATTGTGCATATGAAGAATGTATATAAGTGTACTTGTTGATTTACATAGAAATCATGCTCAATTGTTGATTAATTGTGCTTATTGTGTTTGTTAAAATTGCTAGATGATGTTGTGAGCAAGCATGATAATTTTGTGACGTTAAATTCCCCATTTTATAATATTGTCAAAGCATGTATATGCACTCAAAGCATCGGGCATGAAAAATGGGTGAAGTAGTTTTTGAAAGGAACTAAAAAGGGGATTTTGGGAGTACATTTTGAGAAAAACTTGGTCGCCACAGGGGTACCAAAGGCCCGGAGGGTTAATATAGCCTAGAGGGAATTAGGGAGATTGCCCTAGCGTGGTTGAGCTAGCTGGACCCAAAATGACGCCGCGGGGGCACCAAGGGTCAGGGACACTAGCCAATCTTTTTCTCGTGTCACTGCGGGGTCACCAAAGGGCGGGTAATATTAACCGTTTGAAAGTGATGGTTTTGAATGATGAAAATAGGGAGTGACATTGGCACGCATTGCATTCCATTGCATCATATTGTGTATACTTGAGATTGATTGTTATGTGATATTATCCCGACATTATATGATCCCCATCTCCCATTGTTTCGTTCTTTGTTTGGATTCATGGGGCTACAAGGGGTGTGCCTTAGGCACTATCTACTGAGCTTTACGCTCATCCCATTATTTAATATTTTTCAGGAATCAGAAAAGACGTAATAGATGTAGACCTTCCACAAGCATGAGGATGACTAGGTGTTTATTTTTATACCTTTTATAAATTTTCCACTCTTTTGTAGATTCATGGCCATGTAATTTAATTAAGACATTTGACTATATTTTGATGTGAAATGGAAATCATGTAATTGCCGTGTTGAATGGAAGAACAATGTAATTTTGTTGGCAATTTTAGTGATAGTTATTCTTGTACAATGATGGGTATTTTGTCGTGAACCCGGAATTTCAGTACTTGACGGGTTCATTGTGGGATTTTTATGCAATGCATTCTAGTGAGCTTCCTCCCAGGATTGCATGTTTCGGCCGGCTGATCCTCTCCGTCAGCCAACTGAAAGTCCATGTTCAGCCGACCGAACTCCCACCGTCAGCCGATCGAAATGCCAACAGTGAAAGACCTGAGAGCACTCATTTCTTCTCATCGTTTCGGCCGACCGTGCCTTGTCAGTCGGCTGATGAAGGCTCATCAGCCGGCTGACTGTTTCTTTTGACCTGTAATGTTTGATCATCATTGTAAGCCTGTGTTCTTGAGTACTATGAGCCCCGGAGTGAGTTGTATGACAGGTTTGAACATAGGAAAGGGAGTGTATGACCTAGTGGACCTCGGGTTCGGGTAAGGACCAGGGTAACGGTTCGGATCCACGGATTAGAGTCGTTACAGGAAAGTTCTAACCTCATTCGTTCCCTTTTACTCGTGTTCTTTGCATGCCTAAGTAGTTCCAAGAAATCATTAAATGGAATTAATTAACTATGCATGTTTAAAATTTATTTCATCAGTATGTTCTAAAACGAGTTGTAAATTGCTTGTCTTGTGTTCGACTGTGTATCTATTGGGTTTAATTGCTGTTAATCAATGCCTAAAGGAGTTAGATGGATTCTCTCTGGTTAAGTCTGAACATAATTAAAAGCATTAGAGGCGGTAACAGAGAGGCTCGGAGCAATGGAGTTCACCGGAGACGAAACAAGCAGATAGGGAGAGAGGGGGAAAAGAGACGGCTCCATGGGATCATGGAGCTGGCTCTAAAGGGTTTAGAGCCGGCTCCATTTTGTTTGGAGACGGCTCCAACTTGTTTGGAGCCTGCTCTCTTCATGGTTTTTCAGTTTTGGTTGGTTTTTGCGAGTTCTGGACTGCTGTAGATGGATTTTTAAAATTCCAGATTGAATCAGGGGTTGTTCTATAATGTTTAAACCCACATTAAAGCTTCAGTAGGCATGGTAATACGTAAGATACCATAGGAGGCTAATATGGAAACAGTAGGAAGTTTTACAGAAAGTTTGAGTGTTGGCTTAGATGTGAATGTTTCAAGTTGCTCATGTTTAAATTAGCAAGTGACTTAGGGAATTTGTGGTTTAAATCATGTCACAGTATTATGAAAAAAATAAGCATGTCAAGTGTGATAACTCTCTGTTATGCTTAATAGGACTTTAGTTGCTAATTTTACAGTATTGTATTCTATCAACTTTCTGGATATTGTGGAATGGTGTTAAGTGAGCATGTTAATTCTGATATTGTTATTCTTATGCTTATACTGGATCATGGGATGGATTATACCTGTTCTTTATACTTTAAACTTATGGGAGAATCATGCATCGGTAATACGGAACAAGCATGTCATACACATAATTTTTGTTATACTTGAGATGGATTCTTACTCTATTTGATATGGACTAGTTGGTATTGATTTTCGTTATTAGAATTATCAACCACTGGATGGTATGGGATGTATGCACTGGTATGGACGGAAGAATTACCATGGCAGAGGGACCTTTAACCCCTTAACCATGGATGGCTGGCCTTTAACCACCCTCATAATTGCCACCCTTATCTCTACAACCCCTTAATAGGCTCCCTTCATTTCCCCTACATCCCCCTTCCTTCCATCGAAACCCTACCCTCTGTCCGCGCCGTTCGCCTCTTCAAATCCGACCACCGCTCCCCTTCCCCTTCCATCATCACTTGCTTCCTACTCTTCAACAAAGCTCTCTACAGCGTCGATGGGGACGAATCCATCATATCAGAGCATAACGTTTCCACTGAACAAGCCTGCCATTTTTACCTACACAGGCTTGCTATGTCATCTGCCCTATCGTTCCCCTCTTCTTCATCAAAACGGAATCTTGACGACCAGGATTGCACTATAATGGCTATACACGGTGGATTTTATGATATTGCCTTCTGCAAACCCGGGAACGATAGGTGGACCATCTTGGATGGTTCGCGCCCACCTTATTCTGACATTGTGTATTTCAGCAAGGATCAGCGATTTTATGCCATCAATTCGGATTGTAGCATGGAAGCTTGGGACCTCAGGGATCCTTCTTGTCCCAAAATTCAAGTGTTTGATGGTGCTTCCTTGCGGCCTGGGAAGCTTGGGCACGAACTTCGGTTATCTTATAATTGTGTTAAGCGTAATTATTTAGTTGAATCCTCTGGGGATCTTTTGCTGCTTTCCAGGTTTGTAGCTTTAAGTGTTGCTGAAAGTGGCATTGATCATCCTGAGAGTTTTAAAGAGAGATTTTATAGATATCTCCGGACGGAGGCAATAGAAAGGAATTATTACATTCGTGATAATGATGCTTATTGGACTCTGGGATTTGATGTTCATAAGTTAGATTACTATCACGGTAAGTGGGAACCTGTGGAATGCTTAGGTGACCGGGCACTGTTTGTGGGTTCTAATCATTCTTTTTCTCTTTCAACACTCGATTATCCGGAGCTGATTGGAAATTCCATCTACTTCTCAGATGATAACTTTGAGGAATTTAACAACGTATATCATGGCCATGATAATGGCATCTTTTGCTTAGGAGATAACAACCTAAAGCGTTTTTATCCGGTCAGGTTGAAGATCATTGACCCACATCCAGTTTGGGTTGCCCCCAACACAATGTAGTTCTACATAGTCTCCTTTTGCCTTACTAATTAGGTTTCCATTACCTCCTTCCACGATCTAGGTTAGTTGGTTGATTTTTTTTCACTGTGGTTGGTAGGAAAAGGTTGTGATGGTTTATGACATTTTATTCTTATATATGAAATTGCACTGATTTATTATTTACTAGTGTTTTTGGTTATAATTCTCATTGGTTAATTTTATTATTTGGGTGTATTGATGATGAAACTTGATAAGCTCCTATATATGCTTACTTGTTTCAATTAATCTGAATTACTTCAATGTGAGTGTGTGTGTATATATATATATATGTGTGTGTGTGTGGATTTCAAGTTTTTATTTGTTTGTTTGTTATTGTTAGTATCATTCTGTTGGTGAAATATAACCAAGATATATCTTTTTGATCATGTTGAGGAGATTGTTATTTTATTTTGGCCTCTTTGAAGGCTTGAGGCTTTTTGTGGCCTTTTTTTCTTGTTTCCATGAGATTCGCCTCCCTTTTGAGTGCTTTTTATAAAATTCTTAGTTATCAAAAAAAAAAAAATGTATGCATAATTTTGGATGTAGAGAGTTCTAAGATGGACAATTTTAATGGAAACAATGCGGAGGAGTAGTTTCGTAGTTTTCCTTTGTAGAATTAGCCAAAGGAAAAAAACCTCAAAAACAGTCAGGATGCAGTTGATAGATCCTTTGTGCTCCCTAATATTACACAAGTTAAATATGCCTTTTGTTCAATTGAGGTATGGTATCGTGATTGCACCGAAGTATTTGTTCTAGTCAAATGCTGTAACATGGATAATGCTGAGTGTCACGACTGCACAAGAACATTCACGATTGTGCTTAGCATAACTTTTATAACAATATGCTAGTTTTTGTCCGTTTGTAATCACAAAAAAAATTCAAACACTCACTCAGTTTTTAGGAGAATTTAGACTCAATTTATTATTTTGAAAGATGAAAGATGAGCAAGTTTTGTTCAATTTTTTCATACTATTAAGTAGCAAAATGTGTGGCATGGCTTTAATTTGGAGGAGATATATTTATATATGATTTTCAAATATATATAAGCATAGACAGGATTCCCATATACAAACAGACACAATTTGAACTCAAATGAAGGGAAAGGAAGGAAATGGAATAGATAAGGTTCACAGTGCACAGTGGGGTAGGACATTGGAGCGAATGACAGAGATGGGATGACTTAAATACTGTCCACTAGGAAGACCTTTCGAACGGTTTTTCAAGTCAATTGACTAGAGGGGGAGCTATCCCTTCAAACCATAGGTCGAATGTTTGAAGGGGAAAGTGTTGGAAATAGTGGCCTAGTTACACACACAACACTATACTATTTGGAAGAGAATAGAAATGGAGGAAAATACTTTTTATTTCACTTCTTCTATTATTTGACTAGAGTACATGAATATATAGGCCTCACATATGTATGTGTAACCATTACATTTAAATGTCTATAACTCTCCTATCTCCCACTAACATAATCTTCAATATGCATAACTCCCACTAACATAGTATTTGTTAGGCTTAACTCTCATGACTCTTTATTTTACATAACCTTAACTCCCACTAAGACAATTTACTACCCACTAACATGCTAAATTAACACATGCATCATGGATACAAAAATACTTGAAAATACTAAATATTAAAATCAAGTTTATTTTCAACACCCCCCTTTAAACTTGATTTTGTAACTTGAAAAACCTTCTTATTAATCTTGGGGGCTTGATCAAAAGTTCGATAGTTGATCTTTAATTCCACCTCCTTTAATAGCTTCAATCTTCTTGGCCATTTCCATTGATGTGTAGGGCTTGTGAAACTTCTTCAAATGCTTGTTTGATGTCTTCACATAATCATATATCATCCTCTTTATACAAGCACACCATCGATCTTTTTTCTTCCTAAATTTTTTATGGATCTTAAACTTCACATATACTTCTTCTTTAGAGTCAAAAAATAATTCCATATTCACCCAACCTGTATCAATTACAAAATTCTCCAAACTATTTTTAAAAAAATAATATGAGAATTTCTTATCATCCTGGGCTTCAATCTCATACTTCTTTGGAACAACTTTCTTTAAGAGAAGTTCATCATTCTCCACAAAATAAGCATTATTTGATGAAGAAATAATAATTTCATCAAATAAGTCAAATATAACTTCTTTCAAGGTGAAATTTGTAACCATACCTGAAGATGTTAATTCACCAACTTGAACTTTTGCCTCTTCTTTAGCACTTCCTTCTTCTAAATCTTCTATTTTCACTTCATCCTCCTTCACTTTTTCAATCTCTTCTTTAACACCTTTTCTTACCTCTTCCTTATTCACCATTTCAAATTCTCCTTCAACTTTTGAATCTCCAAAATCTTCAACTTCTTTTGCATGATACACCTCTTCATTCTCCACAACTTTGTCTTCAAGACTTTCATAATCATCTTTCGTAAACTCATCATTCTCAAAGCATTGTACCCAATACTCCATGGGTAGTGATTCACCACTATGATTGGAAATGATGGTCTCGAGCATCTTCCAAATATAACTTGGAGTTTTGGACTCTCCAAAATACTCCCAAATTTCTTGATGTATTGCCTTTTGCAACACTACCAATGCCTTATCTTCTTTCTTTTCATGAAGCTTGTTAGACATGCCATTCTTTGGCTCTTCTCCAACAACATCCCACAAATCGCATGCTTTGAGGTATGAAGTCATGATGATTCTCATTCTCTTGTAATTAGAGAACATCATCTTTTCACTAAGAAAATACATTTTCTCCCCTTCATCATCATCAAGGAGAAACATGTTTTTCTCAAATGTTGAACCTTTTAGGATCAACTTCGTCTGGCCTTCAGGATCGTCTAGGCTCTGAACATGAAATCTGGCTTTGAACATGAAATCTGGCTCTGATACCACTTTGGAAACAACTTCCCACACATCTTGTGCTCCCAAAATTGCCTTCATACGGATACACCAATTTTCATAGTTATCTTTGGTGAATCGAGGCATTTGAAATGGAACCGAATTGTTTGCCATTTCTTCTCTCTCTCACAAACTAACTCTGATACCACACATCTTCTTGATCACTCCTTTCACATTTGTATGCTAACAACAAAGTAGGCTCCACTTCTTCATCAACATAATTCGCCTTTTCTTCAACATCGTTAGCAACATTTCTACATTCCGAAGCATAATGACCATACTTTTGACAATTATAACATTGAATTTGAGACTTATCATACCTCCTTCCATATGACCTTGAGTAATTTCCTCTACCACGACCTCTTATTTGTTGTGAGTCATGGATTTTTTCTTCATTGTTGGTTGTGTGTTGACCGCTTCTTTCTCCTCTTCCACGGCCTCTTCCTCTTCCTCGGCCACGTGCATTTCCACGTCCTCGGCCCCTTTGATTTCCTCCATGTTTTTCGTCTCTTTCGTTCAACGAAAACTTTGTTTGTAGCACTTGCTCCAATGCTTCTTGTTTCTTCACCACCTTTTCTTCATGAGCTTGCAACGAACCCATGAGTTGATCAACAGTCATGGAATCCAAATCCTTTGACTCTTCAATGGCTACAACAATGTAGTTGAATTTGGAATCCAACGACCGAAGGATCTTTTCAACGACCCTTGTATCAGTCATGGTGGTTTCGCCATATCTCCTTAGTTGATTTACAATAGCCAGGACCCTCGAAATATAATCTGAAATTGATTCAGATTCCTTCATATGCAATGCTTCAAATTCACCCCGTAACGTTTGGAGGCGAACCTTCTTCACTTTATCAACTCCTTGGAAGGAATTTTGAAGAATCTCCCATAGTTGCTTTGCATTTTCTGCACTAGCAACTCTTTGTAGCATTCCATCATCCAAACATTGATGGATGGTCATCACCGCCTTTTGGTCCTTCTTTCTCATGGCTTGTAAAACATCTTTTTCGGCTTGAGACAAAGTTGCCTCATCTTCTGGCTCATCATAACCTTTGTTGGAAATAGTGGCCTAGTTACACACACAACACTATACTATTTGGAAGAGAATAGAAATGGAGGAAAATACTTTTTATTTCACTTCTTCTATTATTTGACTAGAGTACATGAATATATAGGCCTCACATATGTATGTGTAACCATTACATTTAAATGTCTATAACTCTCCTATCTCCCACTAACATAATCTTCAATATGCATAACTCCCACTAACATAGTATTTGTTAGGCTTAACTCTCATGACTCTTTATTTTACATAACCTTAACTCCCACTAAGACAATTTACTACCCACTAACATGCTAAATTAACACATGCATCATGGATACAAAAATACTTGAAAATACTAAATATTAAAATCAAGTTTATTTTCAACAGAAAGATCCCAATCTAGAGTTATGCGCCAAGAGGAGGGACAGTCCTTCAATTTGCACATGGAAGGAAAGCTTTCGAGGTCACCATGGTGGAGACGGGTTGCACAGATTTTACTATGCAATATAGAATTCAAAATGAATAAATATTATTGCTTCCTGTTTGGGCAACATAACTAGAATATACAAAATAAAATAAAATAAAATAAAACCAGATCCTCACAACCCATCACCACTCACTTGTTTTTTGAGTGCCAATTCACATCCCAATGTGGATTCTTCATTTGCCCTGCAAACTGAGCTTTCTAAACTAATGGAGTTCCCATCATTGGAAGGAAAAAAACATCACCATTGCAGCCATTTCTTGGCCGGACATTATTTCGACTTTCAGCGTCCAGTGGTCCTCTCCATCACCACTGAATCTTTTTAGGAAGCTTTGCCTTGCAGCTCTCGTGTATCACATTTGGAAGGAGAGAGATGCTCGCATCTTTCGGGGTGCAAAGTTATCCCAAAATTCAATTCAATCCAGGGTTTCAACAGCATTACCTCGATCTTGATATTGGAGATTTTTAAAAATTCCATCGCTGCTCATCAAATCCTTAAGGACTGGGACCTTCCGCCCTCTTGTTGTCGTCCTCCGCTGAACTGAAATCGCCAAGCCTTTGGGCTTCGACTCCTTTACAGCTTGGTCACCGGATTTGCGCCATTCCACCATTAACGGCCATGTAACCGTCATTGTTGGTTTGTTAGTTTCATTTTGGGCCCTAGACCGCTAAAATGTTGTCTTTCTTGCTTGGGCCTCTAGGCTCTTGTTCCCCATCTAGTATGGGTCTGTTTGGACCAAAGGCCTCCTCTGTACAGTTTTTTAATTAATATACTAGCTTCATATTTCTCGAAAAAAAAAAAAAAAAAAAAAAAAAAAAAAAAAAAAAAAAAAGAACCTTATCTTCATGCGCGTATCACCTACGGATGGAAAGGAATTTAAGTAAAATCGATGTTCTTTCTTGTATTCGATTTTTTTTTTTTTGGAACAAGTGGCTCTCTGATTCTGATAGGCATAATGGCCATGCATTTGGCCGATGGTGACAGGAGACGGTCTCTCGTGGGCCCAAGGAACAATACGATGGTTTTATTTTTCACTAATTTGAGGAACTGCTCTGATATCTAGTACGTGTGCCCTATAAGAAATGGTTGTGAAAATTCAATTCAAAATAATAATTTAGAAGGGGTGAATGGGGTGGTTTGCTCATGTTCACCCAAAATAAAATTAAATTAAACACATAAAATAAGTAAATAAAGTAAAGTCCACACAAAACAATCAAGGTGATTTCTTGTGAAAAATAAAAAAATCTCTTACTTGCAAAAATAATGTTATTTATTTATGTGTATATTCATAAAATAAAGAAGTTATTAGGTCAAAAAGATTTGAGGACATATGCTACAAGTGGTCAAAAAGGAAGTTGAGAATTACCAATTTTTTTTCTGATTTTTCAGTCATTTATAGTTTACCCATTACACTTATTGGTAATGATTGATTATTGATTAAATTTATTGTTTTTTGCATTGTTTTACCTGTTAATGAGTTATTGATCTTTAACACTTCTATATTGCAGTAAAGAAACTCAGTATTTTAAAATAGTTGAAGACATCTAGTAATTACTATTACAAGAGGTATTTGTCTCATGCAAAAAAAATTAACATAAACTATAAAAAAAATAATTTATATATATAAAAAAAAATCACAAGCTTTTAGGTGAAGAATAATATGGTAAATTCACCATAAATGTTTACCAGGGTGTGGGGGTAATTTACCCATAAATTAGGGTTGAGAGGTGGGAGTGATGAATCAATTTTACTTTTTTTTTATTTTTCGAGAATCAATTTTACGGAGTACTTCATTACTCCAGAGAGAAATGGCTAATTGGAGGAGTTTTGGCGATCGGATGTTAAAAACATTTTTCAATCCGGCGAGCCTTCACAACTCCAGTAGCCGGCGTCGTGGTGGTGGTGGTGGTTGTTTGCTCCTTGGAGGCATAAAAAAAGCCTCAACCTTTTCACGGATCACCGGTTGCTCTTCTTGTTCTTCTCCACCTCCTCCACCACCCCCTGCAAGTCATCGATCACCATCTTCATCACCATTGCTCATGGTACCTCCCGGTGTTGCCTTTGTCGATCACAAAAATACAGGAAAGCACGACGACAGTAGCAGCAGCAGCAATGAGGACTATTTTCATTTCTTCAGCGTTTCGGAGCAGAGTCAAATTAGGGTTCCGAAGAATCTTACTATACCATGGCAGAGGGACCTCCTAACCCCTGACGCCGCACGATGTGTGGGCTCTTCTCATGGCGGCTGGCTAGCCTTTGCACACCCTCGCAATTCCTACCCTTATCTCTACAACCCTTTGATAGACTCCCCTCATTTCCCCTACATTCCCCTCCCTTCCATCGAAACCCTACCCCACGTCCGCGGCGTTCGCCTCCTCAAGTCCGATCACCTCACCCCTTCCCCTTCTCTCATCACCCGCTTCCAAATGTTATACGATTCATCAGAGATCTACCTTTCCTCTCGAAAAGTCTGCCTTTATTACATGCACAGGCTTGCTATGTCATCAGCCCCATCGTTCCCCTGTTATTCTTTTTCGTCATCAAAATCAAAACCAAAACTTGACGAGGACTGCACTATAATGGCCCTCCATGGCATGGGACTTAATGATATTGCCTTCTGCAAACCCGGGGACGATAGGTGGACCGTCTTGGACGGTTCGCTCCCATATTATTGTGACATCATGTATTTCAGCAAAGATCAGCGGTTTTATGCCTTGAAACCAGATGATGATAGCATTGAAGCTTGGGATCTCAGAGATCCTTCTTGTCCCAAAAATCAAGTGTTTGATAGTCCTTCCATTTGTCCTGGAAAGCTTGAGGACAAACTTCAGGAATCTTATCATTTTATTCAGAATAATTATTTAGTTGAATCCTCGGGGGATCTTTTGCTGCTTTACAGGTTCATAGCTAACATCATCACTAATAGTGATGATCTTTCTGAGGAACAACTGAATGGACTGGATGAGGCTTATTGGACATTGGGATTTGAGGTTCGCAAGTTCGATTTTGATCACAATAAGTGGGAACTTGTGGAATGCTTAGGTGACCGGGCACTGTTTGTGGGTTCTAATCAATCTTTCTCTCTCTCAACTTGCGATCATCCGGAATTGATGGGGAATTCCATCTACTTCACAGATGATAACTTTAACCAATTTAACCGCAAATATGGTTACCATGATAATGGTGTCTTTTGCCTAGGAGAGAACAGCATAAAACCTTATTATCCAAGCAGTGTGAAGATGATTGATCCACATCCAATTTGGGTTGCCCCCTTCACAATGTAGTTCTACACAAACAGCTATTTATCTCCTTTTAGCTTACACAAGGTAGGTAAGTTATATAGTTGATTCCTTTTTATTAAATTATAGTAAGGTTGTGATGTTTATGATATTTGATTACTGGTCACTGTTTGATAACTTTATTCAAATCCCTAATTTCTAAATTTTAATTATTTGTTTGCATAGTTTGATGACTTTTGGAAGTGGACAGTATTTTTTCTTTTCTTTTTTCCTATGATGGACATTACCAATCAGTGTAAGGAGTAGTTTCTTAATTTTCATCCGTATAACTAGCCACAAGATTAACATCTTTTAACCAGTCTTTTGTTTGATCCTTTTGATGGGTATATGTTAAATATTGTGAACTAGTTCTTTAAAGGTTCTGGTCTTCTAGAACATCATGCTTCCTAACATTACACAAAATTAATTTCGCTTTTTGTTCAATTCCATTTTGCTCTAGTCCAATACTGCAACGAGATATTATGTTTTTTTGAATGAACTGATCGGCCCAAGTCACTTGCAGAAGCCACAATAACTGACGCATTGGTTGTCATAACAGTGTTTGAAAAAGCTTATTTTTGTTTTTTGTATGATTATTTATCATAGAAATTTGAACACTAGGTATATTTTGGGAAATTTGGACTCTCAAAATTTTTACTTTAAAGATGAGTTAGTTTTATTTGATTTTTGAAGTTGCAATTGCTATTTAAAAATAAATTCGAAGGGTTAGCTCAAATGGGTAAGTCATTTGTCCTTGGTGCTTCAGGAAGCATTAAGCTTGAGGTTTAACTTCTCTTAAGTGCATGGATGGATTTGGTGAATAATTAGGAAAAAAAAATACTAAATTTTTATTATATAAGGTAAAGAACCAACAAAAAAAAAAAAAAAAAAAAAAAAAAAAGGCACAAAAAACATATAGAACTATGGAACTACAAAAAAATAGAATTAAACCATGAACTATGCCTGCTTGGCTGCAATTAAATCACTACCAATTAAATCACTCCGGTCACCACCATAATAATGTTATGAGACACTGTGTATGCCATTTTTTTTCTTTCTAAATGACCATTTAACCATTATAATACAAAAATACCAAATTATCCTTTTATTACGTTAAACCCACATGCCCTATTTATATTCCCCAGAATCCATTTCTCTTACCCAAATTATATACTACTGTTCATATTCTTCATGTGTCTGATAAAAAATACACATGATTTCCATATACACACACAATAAGAGGGTGGGTTTCATCTGTTGGCGATATGTTGATATGATGCCATTTTGACTTTCACTCATTATTGATAAAATTTTAAATCAAATGGGGTGAAGTGTGCAAAGCAGAGTACTGTAGGAGAAAGTTTGGGAGAGTTCTAACCTGCCGAGGGGAGTGGGGGAAGGGGAGAGAAATATAGGTATTATTGTTTGGTAGCTTAGGGAAAACTTTATGTCTCCATAATTTTAGAGAGAAGCCATCCAAATGGAATTATTAAAAACTTGCAGTAAATCCATCACCCCGATAACATAAATAGATAATGACTCAAACAAGAATAGAAGATCTCTGGTGTAATTAAGTGGAGGAGATGAAAAAGAGAAATTATAAAGAAAGAAAATACATCTTGATATCAGTCTTTTGTTTGATCCTTTTGATGGGTATGTTAAACATTGTGAACTAGGTTCTTTTTTAAAGGTTCTGGTGTTCAAGACAAGGGCGAATTCAGGAATTGTTAATAGGATGTGTTAATATTTCTTTGGGTGAATTAAAACTAGTAATAATTTTTCTTTTTTCTGGGCTGGGCTATAATTGCCTATAATAAAATTTTTTTTTGGTAGGTTCAATCTCACCCCCCCTTGCCTCTAGAACATCGTGCTTCCTAACATTACACAAAGTTAATATGACTTTTTGTTCAATTCCATTTTGCTCTAGTCGAATATTGCAACAAGATAATATGTATTTTTTTGATGACCCGCAGGGTGTGTGTGATCGTCCCAATTCACTTGCAGAAGCCACAATATTTGAGCATTGGTTATCATAACGCTTTTGAAAAAATTAGGACTTGCTTGGTTTGTGACTCTGAAAACAATTCTCAAAAACTTAGAGAACAAAAAATTATTTTCAGATAATTATAAAAAAGAGTTATTTGAAAACATGCATTTTTATAACTGAGTTTTCAGAAAATAGTTTTCAAAACACTGAACCAAACAGAATTTTTGTACAATTTTCTATTTTTAGTTCTTGAAAACAGAAAACTCTTTCAGAGTTACAAACCAAACAACTCCCTAATTTTTGTTTATTTGTTTGATTATTTATTATAGAAATTTGAACACGCGATTTATTTTGGGGAAATTTGGACTCTCAGGATTTTACTTTAAAAGATGAGTTAGCTTTATTTGTTTTTCGAACTACTTGAGTAGCAAATGTTATTTAAAAATAAACTTAAGGTATTGACTCAAATGGGTAAGTTATTTGTCCTTGGTGCATCAGAAAGTATCAAGTCAAAGGTTTAACTCCTCTTTAGTGCATGGTTGAGTTTTGTGAGTATCAACTAGAAAAAAAAATATTACTTAAAAATATAGTTGAATGTTATATATCTAGGTACATAATATGTATATATGATTTTCAAATATATAAGCATACACATGATTTCCATGTACACACAATTTGAGGGTGGGTTTCATTTGTTGGAGATATGTTAATTTGATGTCATTCATTTGTTGGAGATATGTTAATATGATGTCATTTTTATATTATGACCTTCACTAATTATTGATAAAATTATAAACAAATGGGGTGAAGTGTGCAAAGTAGAGTAGTGTAGAAGCAAGTTTGGGAGAGTTCTAATCCGACAGAGCAGGCGAACGGGAGAGAAGTATAGGTATGGTTGTCTTGGGGAGAACTTTCATCATCACCGTTGTCATCGTCATCCTCTTTTTTTAATTTTAATCACACAGGAAGATGTCCGGCCGCCACATAAAAATCTTCTCTTTAATTTTTTCTACATGTCATTTTTCTTGTTTAACTTTTAAAATTATTATTAAGAATCTCGACCATGTTAGTCTTAGGAAAAACTCTCTCCCCACAATTTTAGAGAGAAGCCATCCAAATGGAATTATTAAACTTGCCCCGATAAAATAAGGGTTAAGTGTAACTATCGATATAGTGTAAAAAAGTTCTTTAGTATCAACACGCCCCTACCCCCTTGGATAAAGGGAGCTAGATCTAGCTCAGAGCTCCGTAATTTCTTATCAAATTCTTACTTTTTTGTTAGATCTTGGGCAAAACAGGAATTTGTATGCCTAAAGAAAAGGTTTGTGATATAAAACCTCCCTATATTATTAATTTGAGAAAAATATCCCTCTGTTCGCATAAAAGACATTAATACTCAATAAAATAAAATAATATTTAAAAATTCAGGCAATGTAAAATTACCATTTTAGACAATTTCCAAACTCACCTGCAACTTCTCACAGACGCAATTATCTTTTTGCCACTGACTGGTCTGACCTTGCGCCGTCCTTCACCGTCGCCAACAGCCACCAGCCTTCTGTATATACCATCATTAATGGCGTCCCGAGCACGCTGTTCTTCACCGTCGCCAACAGCCACCAAACGAGAATCGGATCTTACCAAACGAGAATCAGACTTCTTCGACCGCGGTGGTGTGGAAACTCAAACTCGTCGCCCTCCACCTTTTCATCTCCGGCCTGAATAGTACTTCAATCTCTTCGTCTCCGACGGAACCACCGATCTCATCCTCAACCGTCCAAAGAATCTAGATCTGACGACGCACCAACGCGTTTCACGCGCCATTGTGCGTAGATCTAATGCTCGACCCATTCTGCATGATTCAGAGCAGTGCCGGAGGGACTGTTGGGTTCAAACCCATAAAACAAAATTAACGTCGACGTCCTCTCCTCCACTTCACCGACGTCGATTACACTAGCGATACACGCCCAGAGAACTGATTCGGCATCGGTGAGGTCCTTAACACCGGACTCGTCCTTGTCACCGGACATCTCTCACATAATCTTCTCCAGTCGTTTCTCTTCCTCAGGAAAGCGAAGGGAGAGATGAGATGGTTGCACGAGAATGGCTTCAAACCCAGTTTCACTCTCTCTCCTTTTTTTTTTGTTTTGTTTTTGGATAAATAGAAATGCAACGGTTAAAAGACTTTGCAAGAGCCGTAGAGTCACACCAAATCGAATTGCAGCCATTGATGCAATAGTAATTTTTCTGTGGAGTCCATCGTTGGTTTGGTGATGAAGAATGGGTATTGATTTTGGAGGCACGAAATGGAGATGAAGAGAGGGAAAGAGAGAGAGGTGGGTTTGATGATGAGAGTGAACATCCAGATTAAAACAGAAGAGGAGTAGCTTGAAGTTTTTTTTATTGTATTGGGTGTGGGGGTGGTGGCGGCGGCTTTGGGTGTGGGGCCTGTGGTGGTGGTTTTTTAGTTCGGCAAATATGGTGGTGGAGCCACGACCACCAATTGTTGTGGTAGTGATGTGCTGCCGGAGCAAATTAGGATTTTAAAATTTATTTTATGCCAATTTTGAACAAAAAGTGGTCAAAGGATTTATTTTTATTTATTTATTTATTTATTTTAAAAATTTTATGGAATGAAATATACATTTTTTAAAAGAAAAAACTATTTGTACACAAAACTTATATTACACGGTTTTTTTTTTACACTTGACCCCATAAAATAAATAGATAATGTCTCAAACAAGATCTCCAGTGTAATTAATTGGAGAAGATGAAAAAGTGAAAATAAAAATAATGCAATTGAGAGAAACTTTGTTGGATTAGGGGTCACTGGTCGAAGTTAATTCCTATTCGTTTAGCATTTTCAGCATTTTTTTTGTTGCATAAATTTATTTATTTATTATTATTACAGTATTACCATAATAATTTTGGGAAAGGTGTCTTGCGCTTGCTTTTGCTACCAATGGGAATCCCCTTCAACTCTTCAAGGCCTTAGTCACTATCCAAAATCACACCTTAT